CCTGACTTAGATCAGCCCAGAGGTTGTTTCAGGGTATCGCTAAAATTCGGTGTTATTATCATAATATTTCGCTTAATATGAAAATTCATTTTACACTCGTTCAGGATGACAAACATGGGATGGTGTCGACTGATGGACCAGAGTTAAAGTTTTTCCATGACATAAATTATTTTAATACCACAGAAACGCTTTGATTGACATATCCACCTGCACCTAAAATTATATTAGTAGTCGATGGAAGATTGCACGAGTTTTTGAGTATTATTTGCTCCGAGATCATTCTTCTATAGAGTGCAAACAATATAACCGTGGAACTTTAGTAATACTAAATAGCACAATTTCAAGCAAATTCCATTGTTTTCTATTGTTTAATTAGCACTATTTTGTACTATTTAGTAGCTAATGTTTCACGGATTAATTGTTTGCACTGTAGTATAAATCGCGAGTTACACTTCTATTCAAAATTACATTTCACTAAAAAATTCCACACGAGACTTATTTCTATTGATAGCACTATTTGAGAGGTGAGTAATTAGCATATCAGTTGATTTCGATTCAAACCTGCAAACTGATGGACGTTCTTCGCTGTTTTTACTCTCTAAACAACCCTAAAAACAATTAGAGCCTTTGGCATGACTTCTATCGTTTGGATAAGACATTATTGATTGCAACCACAACTTGCTTGTCTAAGTCGTCCTTTATTGAAAAGCGAAGAGGTTAGTGAATAATTCTAATTTTTATATTTGCATGTTTACTTTGCAAAGCCGCTCTTATACGACAGGTTTTGCAATCTGCCATACTTGCTAGCCCGCCGTTTTATACCTTGATATTTTAGATGACGTCTAATTCTGCAATAAGACTGCCAATTTTGTGACGTCGGGAGCGTTGTTGTTTTATAGCTAGACAAAGGTCCCCTTCACAGTTCCCTGCGCCATCTCGAAAGGTAGCCTTGCCTTTGGGTTGAAGCGAGACGCACGGTGAGCTTGCAGTGCACTGATTCTAAAAATAGCTTAAAGATTCGGACAAACATTGCATTCTGTTTAACCGCTACGAGGATTATACGAACCGATTTTATTATTTTTACTTAAAGTTACAATAATAACCCATGTAAACTAAGATCAACTGCGATCGGCTATGAAAATTATCTGCTAAAAGTAAACTTGTAAATTTGTTTGTCCGAATTTCGCCTTTGTCTTCGTTTTTATGACGTCACGGTTGCGCTGCGCTATTGAACATGGTTTGCAATATAAATGATGATACAACGTTATGATTTTGCCTACTCGTTGGAACATTGCTTTAGTGGCCAACAAAATTTTTTAGGTCACTTTTTATAATTTGTTTAGTTGAAATATTAGAAAATATTGCAATATTAGAAAACATTAGATAATCCACAGGTGGTAGCGTGCAATAGGAATTTAACAAATTTCCGATGGTTTAACGTTGCATGTACTTTTATTTAACAAGATATGACATCAACAGTTAGTCAAAGTGTTGCTTCAAGCATGGCTATATAATGGGCAGTTTTTCTGCTATGATCAAACTAATACAGTCCAGGGATATATAGGAAACTCTGGGGCACTATGAGTGTCAAACCTGGAGCATGTTTTATACGGTTCTTCTACCCCAACAGAGACGGCGGGAGGGTCTAAGGAATCTAAGCCATAACCAAACACTTCCTAAGATATGCACTGAGCGCTTTAAAAACACTCTTATAAACAGATGTCTATTTAGTCGCATTTTATTTTTAGAGGAGGAAGAGAGTAAGGCGGTTTTTTATCAAATCTATGTAAATAGTTACTAGTAATAGAATTTTGATTACCTTTACATTTTTCACTAATATAAATTGCAATTGTGTATTGTAAACTGGTACATTTTGCCGCTATGTTATACTTGATAAATAGAGGATATTACATGGGCGCGCGGAGATACGAAATTTATCTTCGAGTGTTGAAAAGATCTCAGATTTTCAACACGAGAAGATAAATTTCGTATCTCCAAGCGCCCATGTAATATCCTCTATTTATTATATAATTATCCATAAAATCAACTTAACAAGCTTTTTATTAGTTTTATAAAAAGTTTTTTATTTATAAACTAATAGCTTAAATACACATGGTAACGATATTTTCAGATGTGAAAATATCAGTTTTTCGAAGATAGGTATGTTAGTCAGTATTTTATGGATAATTATATGATAAAGATTGTTATTATAAAGTGTCAATTACCCACGATTCGTAGCCGCACAAAACACAGAACGAATCAAAAAGCTTTCTGCATATCGATCCATCTTTCAGTCCAAGCCTGTCACAAATACCCTAATACCACTTGTCGCACAAAACACAAAACGATTTGAGAAGCTTTCTGCATATCGTTCCCTCTTTCAGTCCAAGCCTATCACAAATACCCTAATACCACTTGTCGCACAAAACACAAAACGAATTGAGAAGGTTTTTACATATCGTTCCCTCTTTCAGTTTCTGGTTCAGACCTTGTGCAGCACTGTATTTTGAGTATAAATGAACAGCAAAAGTCTTTTCTTTGAAAATTTTCATATTTTTTTTGAACGTTTTCCCGGATGTTTGTTGAAAACACTCATCGACAACTCTATAGTATGGAAACATGTAGAATGCAAGTTGATCGAGCACACTTACATTGTATTGAGCTGAATTGTTTGAATGCAAGATGCTTGTAATAAGCAGTGGACCATTTGCTGCCCAGCTATATTGATTGTAGTTTTTAGCAAAATGTTCCAAACTTTTGTTCAAAAATGGATGATATTTTTCAAAATACATAAAGGCCCCATTCATTATTTTTCCATTACTCTGGTATCCAACAACATTAACAGGCAACTCTCTAATGGAGCGTACTAATATAACGTCAATATCCATGTACACGCCACCCATTTTGTAGAGTATGAGCATGCGCAGAAGATCTGTCTCATGACTGTACCAGTATTTACCATCCTTCACCTCATTATACTTTCCAGTCATAAAACTTTGTGCAGGAGTGCCATTGACCATCTTTGTTAAGTTGTACCTTCGGACCTCAATGTCATAGCCAGATTCCTTTAGAACACCAAACGTTCTATGCGGTAAGGTGTTGCTATGTACGATGACCTTTGCAAATGGATGGTGATAAAAGATCGACTCGATGCAACGCCAGTGTCGCCAGTTCAAGCTCGATAAGACCGACTCTTTTCCATGAAATAGATTTATAACTCGTGTGCCCTTAGTAGTGAATATCAAATGAAACAAATCCTGCTTATTTCCGTCAGGAGGAATGAAATGTGGAAAAGGAATGACTCCAAATTTTAGAGCTGCTTCATGCAATGCATTCTTTTGACGAATGATATTCCACGATGTGGCTCTTAACCTCTTCAGAAGACTTGAAGACGGAGTTGGATGAGGATCGTGCCAATCAAAGTTATGCAGCCATACTTTGGCCTCATCAATGGACATTTTATACAAATCAACTATGTAGAACAACTCATGGAATCCTTGAGTTCTTGGCGAGCTTTCACTCTTTGTACCACCTCCACCTGGCATGTTGGGAGAGTTGATGAATATGACGGGTGTTCCCATGGCAACACATGGCAATGCGCTGTGGATGCGTTGTGTTACGACCAGCTTTGCTTTGGAGTATTTTTCTATCAGATCATAAGCTGCTTTAAATCTTGAGAACTTGTTAAGCCGAGCAGCTCCATTCATGTTATGCGCCAATAGAATACCTTTCTGTTGAATTTCCAATGGCAAAAGCTTCCTAACTTCATCGTTTACATCTGTCAAATAAATAATCTCATTTCGTTTGGCATCTTTGGTCGTGTTCTGCATCAGTAGCGTTAAACAACCGGAGAAAAACGATTCAACACCTTGTTGTCTTAGGAACTCAAGAGAAGTAGTATCGCGACATCCAATAGGCGATTTTCTCCGTAGATATTCTATATTTTTCGATATCATAGGCTTGATCGCATTTCCTATGTGCATTGATAACATGATAGGATCGATGTTTTCTGGTGGTGGCCACTGTGTGAAAGGAGAACCCCACCACGCGTTGAAAAAGGAAGTGACATTCCTCCCTCCTTTCGAATGATGAAGTTGGTCTCTTTCTAGAAATTCATTTATAAAAGGAACGAATTGCAATCCTGGAAATCCCTGGATTTCATCCCCTAGATTTGCGTCGCGAGCAACACGAACTCGGCTGTCGTAAGATAATGTACCGAAGCTACTCTCAACAATGTTGGAAGCATCCAATATTGTGTTTTCCAAATGGATGATCTTGGGACAAAGCTCAAGATTTTGTCTGCATGCAACCGAAACAATCTCTCGAAACTCGACATTAATCGGCCAGGTTTTCATGCCCTCAACTTGTTTTGTATGCTGATCCAAAAATACTTGACCTATTACTCTAATGAACGAGCTTTCCTTAGGGAAGTTGAAAAGTCCCAAGATGTTGTGATGATTTGCATCAGACGAGACACCAATCCATGGTTCTTTAATACCCAAAGTACGGCGGTGTGTTTTCTCCATGCCTACTCTTGGATCAACGTAGGTACCGCCTTTTCGCCAGATCAGGGCAAGTAAAACTACTTGCTGCAAGTGATCCTCAAAGCTCGCTCCTTCGAGCACTTTATTTAAAGGATGCTTGTTAAACCAGGTTTCAAAGATGGTATTTTCAACCAAATCACTAATGACCAGGAATGAAGCTGTAGTGTTATAGGGCTCAAGATCAGCGAAGATTTTCACACAACTAAAGGTGCCACAATGCAAGTGTACTGGTCTGCCTGGTAAGCTCTCGTGCCAAGTATGGACGTTTTGAAGCACGTCTTCGGGCAATGCTCTGTTATAAACCCAGGATGAAGTTATATGTTGCTCAATCACCATAGATGAGTTAGCAACATTATTATGAGGTGTACCAATATTAGTATCTATTTCATCTCTTGCGCGTTGATCAAGACATACCACATTTAGAGCAGGAGCAGTCGTCGTGATCAAATTAAGACTGATGAAGGACAAACTGACTAAGACCAAACTACCATAGCCTAGTGTTCGTTTTGAATGAGACACACGTGCTACAGAAAGACTGTGGGATGTTCTGTAGTAAAGCAACAATCCTGTTAGGAACACCACCAACCCGATTACTGAGAGGCAACGCATTGGTACGGAAAAGTACAACATGTTGAGGAATATGGCAAAGATTCTCTTGAGCAAATTCAATAGAGCGTGGTGTAAGGGACTGATTCCTTGAAGGATCTGGATAGAAGCCATATTGTAGGTTAAGTAGCTGCCAGCTGATGCTAGTATGTCCCCATAAGAGGTGAACTGTATCTTGTTGGTTAAAAGTAGCTTGATAATTGCAATGGGAAGGAGAAACCAGAGGCCATACAATGATAAGGCGTAATATTGTTGTAAAGGACTCTTCGAGGATCTGCTTAAATTCTTGATATAAATGTTGCGTATGGGAAAAGCAAAGCTGGAAACAATTGCAGCTAGGATTCCCCAGATATTGAACGAGCTGTCTACCGCTACGAACAAGCACGTTCCTGCAGACATCACCAGGAGTGAAAGTAGAACAGAACAGCTTAGATTTTCATATTTCTGGGTATTTAGAAAGAACAGAAGTACAAAAGTAAAAACTGGTTCACACGCTTTGATCATCTGTGTGGTGCTGGAGTTGATTGCAGCATATGATGCGTTAGTGGCGAGGTTTCCAACCATATGTGCAAATGATGCCATCAGAACAACAATTGATTGGTGATTGGTCACAGTTGTAGAACCACCAGTCTTAACTCTGTACAGCTTCAGCCAAGTCCGGGTAAATATCGCACTTATTGCTAGTTGAATGACTGTCAGATCTATCCATCTCAAGTCCTTGAGTGCTTCGGTCACACTGGATACATTATGGCCGCCATGATGGAGTTGATCACCAATCATGAAGCGTTTGGAGGCGATAGAAGTAACAGTGTTAGTAGTCCACCATACTAACGTCGACATCACTATCCACAACGTGCTGTACTTTGTATCCTATAAAACACATTATTTACAGGTTATTTGCAGTTTGGGAAACCAACCAGAATATAGGATATACCAGTTGAACAGCAATATAAAGTATTCGCGCGTCCAAATAAACTACTTCGACGATAAGGCGGCTATCTTGGATTGCAAGGCATTATGGGGCGTCCCGGGGGCAAATAAAGCTTTGTTACAGTAATGACTTCGATTGATATTAACAGCTCACCACAAGGCAATACAACAAAATATGAATTGAGACGGCACATCAATCAAAGACAAACACACGAAACTCTACATATTTTCCGTTATCTTTGTTTTGGTTTTACCCCGTGGCAGAATGGTCATTCTGACTCTTGTATGTGGACTTATTATATGACCGTGAATCTTAGAGCCTGGACACTAGCAAATCGAGCAATCTGATTGGACGGATCGCATCGCGGACAGGTCTAGATTCGCATATTAATCTTACGGCGAAAATATTTTGTCCTTTTCAATGAAAAGTGGTCATATAATRAAACTCTTATCAACCGAGCTTGGTCGGTCTGTACGGGATAATCTTGACCTCGGTCGGGTACAGACCTCGGTCAAGATTATCCCGTACAGACCTCCCGCTCGGTTGATAAGATCTAAATATAGAGCGTTTTCACTCACGTAAGAAGAGCGCCATAAACAATAGAAACTTTCTGCACAGTATTTGCATAAAAATAGAGTTCAATTCCGGAGGATAGAAAATGTATTGTTTTGGTACGCCAAGATGTCCGCTGTGACGTCACGTGAAAACGCTCTATTCGAACGACTTAACATCGTAAATACTGCCCAATAAGCCAACATATACCGCTCTTTTGGTATGGAGTTGAGCTACAGTGACCACTACCAAGGATATATTCATACTTAAGAAGACTATTTATGTAAAGGAGTGGTAAAAAAGTTATTTTTGCTTTCACCTTTCCGAGTCGCTGTTTTTCCATTGCGTAGTGATCGAAAGAAACCAGAGAAAAGGAATCTGCGAAAAAGAAAAGTTAACTATATGAAACATATGTCTTAGAGTTTTGTTAATTAGGAGACGACCTAAATAGGAACATTTCCTCGAAGTAAACTACAAAYGAATGCATGAAGATATAACTAGCTAAAAACTAGTGTCGGTGTTTTACTCCGACGAAGGACTAGCGTCCGAAACGTCAGTAAGTTTTTTCATCTTTTCACGGTGTATAATTTACCTTTTCATCATTACAAATGAATGCATAAATAGATTATAAAAAAATACCTCAAGATGCAGGCTATATAATAGACCCCTTGTCAAAATGGCGGCCGAAAATTGAAGTGAGTTAAATTAGAAAACCAATACCAGCACTGGAAAGAGCACCTTTACTTTAGTAACCGTACGAAGATTCATTATCTCGAGTGTTATTTCGGCCGAGAAAACTTAAGTTGAAAATTGACAAATTTACAGACATTTATATGTCTATTTACCCCCAGACATACAAACGTTGTGATAAAGGTGCTCATTCAAGTGCTGGTATTGGTTTTTCTCTCAGTTTAATTTTAACTCAACCGAATTTGCGGCCGCCATCTTGACGAGGGGTTTATTAAAAGAGGCAAGTACAAACGAGACTATTCCCATGCAAGTTAGTATCCTCAGGATATCGAATTATAATGAAGGATAATAATGAATTATTAAATAACTGCGTACTGATTAGTTGGGCGGGAACGCGCGTTATGAGAGCACACAGCACGCGCGCGCACTTTCATTTTCACTCATGTAATTAGTAGCTTATAAAAGAAATAAGACCGCCACCCGGTTAGCTCAGTTGGTAAGAGCGTCGGTCTGTTGTGCGAGAGGTCTTTGTTCAAGCCTCGGCCGGACCAACACTCAGGTTCTTAAAATAACTGAGGAGAAGGTGCTGCCTTTGTAATAACAACTACAAATGGTTAGACCTTCACGTGGCTCGGATGATCACGTTAATGGCGGTCCCGTCCCTAATTAACTAGAGACGTTAACAGATGACCACAAGTTTATCAGTTGAATTATATTACTGTCAAGTGTTATCCTCTATAAACAAAGTTAATTAATTAATTTATTTAAAACTTGCTTGCTGAGCTGTGTGGAGTTATAAAGCACTTGGGGTATGGCAGATCACTCGAGAAGTGTCCAGAAGCACTCCGCTTCTATTATAACTAATATTAGTGTATGACGATTGAAACGTCGTTGTGGTCCTACATAAAGGTTTAATTAATTTGAAAAAGTTCAGCGTTAGACACTATATCCTGACTTTTAGACTATTGCAGTTCATCTTCAATACAACTGACAAAGGGTCACAAAGGCTCATAAAGAAGCTGCTATCCACGCTTTACTTCACTTTTAATTTTTTCTAATTTTTTTAATCTTTATTATTTTTTAAATCCACTTTTCACTTTTTCTTTGGTTTCTTACCACACTCTTTAAACATTGCGTACGTCGAGCGCTCTTTCTGTGAAACATTTCCTTCGAAAATCCCTTTTAACTGAAAAATATTATTCTACTATTGGTTCTTGACAGTAGTTTTTCATTTGTTTTTAATTGTCCTTATCGGGTCCGTGGGATATTTAATTAAAACTCTTTGAAAACTCACTCGGCGTTCAAATTTCCCCGGGAAAAAAAAACCCCTGAACACACCTTGCAAGTGATTAAAAAAGATAAAAATAAAAATAAAAAAGATTTCAGGCATGGAGTAAAAAACTATATTCAAATAAATAGAAATAACAAGATAAAAATCGTTCACAAACACAACAATTAACCACGTACCCTAATCACAAAGCTCTGGATCGGAATTTTTCAGAATGCTCTCGTCTTTAAAAGGCATTTTTCTCAAATAAGTCAAAATCATTTTGATTTGAAATGATTCTGCTTTTTTATTGTAAGACTGAGGTAGTCTATGAATCTTGTCTTTTCTTTGCTGTAGATATAATAAACTACGTTCAACTGTGTCCTTTGACTCCGACGAAGGACTAGCGTCCGAAACGTCAGTAAGTTTTTTCATCTTTTCACGGTGTATAATTTACCTTTCATCATGACTGTTTCATTAGAAACACCGACGCAGCTCACACTAGTTTTTAGCTAGTTATATCTTCCGTGTCCTTCAGTGTCAAGCATTGAAGAAAGTCAATAGAAAATGAATTGCCATGCTGTGCAGTGGTCAAACAAGCGGGGATTTGGCAGAACACGAGATAATCACATGCCTCGACCAATCAGAAAGCGAGATTTCTGACAGTTGCTTTCTTTTTATCGGGTTGTTTCTATGATTACCTTAACCAAATCCAAAAAGTTTCAAAGCCAAATAAAACACAATAGATTACTCCATGGAAAGTACGAGCGTACGGCTTTCATTCACGCGTTGTGAAACCTATCATCAATAGTCTAGAGTCTACGAGCGATTGACTTTTATGATACGAAACGAAGAGGGAGTAATTAGTGATTGCAATCATTCCCAAGAGAATGAAATAATAAAAGACACGGCAGCCATGTTGGGTGATATAACAAGAGACTAATGGCGAATCTTTTGTTACATTCAACGAACATGGTGGCTGTGAAAACCATCAATACCATATTATTTTCATATTATTTTCATTTTGCCCGTTAAGAAGACCAACTGCCTCTCTTTTCAAACAAAACCCTTTTTTATTTAATAACATTTATATCCATTAAAAAGACTGTACAATGATTTTCGTTACATATGTAAATATTCATGATATACTCATCTTGTAATATAATAAAAAGATATAACTAGCTAAAAACTAGTGTGAGCTGCGTCGG